ATTGGGAAGAAATGTAAGATGGAGAGTTGGGAATAAGGAATGCTTTTGAAGTCTATGTTTTTAATTTTATGGGTTAGTAAAATGTTTGCCAGAATTTAAGATGATTAAGGATATATATATATAATTGTATCATTTTAAAGGACTTAAATAAGAAAAATAAGATATTAGATGATTAATGTCATATATGTATGCAATTATATTATTCTAAAGAAGTTAAAATTTGTATTTACTGGGATTAAGATATTTGAATGATTATAAGAGAAATGGTAGAGTTTATTTTTTAGATGCTTGGATTTGGGGAAGATGGATAATTTTGTTTTGAGTTAAAATAGAGTATAACTTTTGTTTTTTGTTTTTTAATTATTTGAGTTAAAGTTTTTTTTTAACTGATTGCTTTAGGAGCTGTTGAATCCTGTATTAGTTCTGGGAAGTCAGGGAGGGGAGGGGTTTAAGGGGAAATTATAAATTGATGTAGTTAATATAACTATATAATGGAATTGTAATAATAAGAGGATATTCCCGGCTGGTTCCCCAAATTGCACTCGATGTGGTGGTTAGAAGGCGAAAGGGATGTAGAGTGGTAGGAGGAAAGAGGAGAAGCTGTGGGAGGAGGAGGAAAGAGAGGGAAAGTGGATAAGGGTGGAGGCAAGGCGGGGACTGCCGGGAGTATCCGGAACATTTTGAGTAAGATTTTCTTTTTTGTGGTGTTTGTAGATGCATCATTTGTATTTGTTTAATTCAAAATAATAAAAAAAATTTATAAAAAAAAAAAACAAAAAAAACAACAAGAATTGGTATTAAAAAAAGATAGTCGCATGTGCACCTCTAAATGCAAATTAGGAATTCATCGCTATTAAAGATTGGTGAGAATGTCCTGTAGATATCGATGGACTACAACATCCACCATCCTTCATTAGATGCTGCGATTTGCTGGATACAATATCTGACCTTATACACAGTATGTCAAGAGGAGTCTGTTAGCACCTTTTCTGACTAACAAACTGCATTAAAATGCATAACTGATTATGCTACTCACTTTTCACTCCTACAGTTTTGGTCTCCCATAGACTCACACGGCTCTCCTCCCAAAAATATGGAGAATCCCCTTGTTCTGAGAAGGAGGATCCGTTTCCTGCTTCCTCTTGTTTTAAGGGTTTTCATGTCTAAAATGAAGCTGCACCCAAAAAACAACTTGATTCCCTCTTTCCACCCAAAGAGTTACATCTTCCCCAAGAATAAAATGAAATTAGGTACAGGAACCATCAGACACCACAACGAAGCTCTACATCACAATGTTAGCCTAAATGAGGGAATTTCATGCAACCTCCTTTCCTAACTGCTATCAGCATTTACAGTGGCTTTCAGAGATTTATAATGGAGAGGGATACGAAAATCAAGGGGAGGCCATGAGGTACATTGTTTCCTTCCTGTTTGATTGGCAGCAACATATTTAACTGTTTAGTGCTGAGGGAGTTTCAAGCAGCTGTTACTTATTTTCATTTCTGTAGCTGTTGGCATCTCTATTTGGTTGCTGATTGACTGTGCACCAAAGCTCCCTACTGTTTGTAATCTCACAAAAACAAGCTTTGGGAGAAGCACCCTGCCCTCAGGATTTCTGTTGACAGCTTGCTGGTAATTCTGGAACTCTGCTGCTGCAAAATATAGCTTGAAAGGAAAAGTAGCAACAAGGAAAAAAAAAGACTAAGAAAGTCCAGTTGCATTTTGAAAAACATCTTTGGGACAACAGCTTGAATACATCTTGAATATCCATGACTTAGATGAAGAGATTGAAGGGGAACTCATCAAATTTGCAAATGACACCCAGTTGGGAGGAATAGCCAACACTTTTGAAGATAAGCACAAGATTCAGAAAGATCTTGACACATGTGAGCATTGGGCCCTTTCCAGCAAAATGCAATTCAGTGGTGAGAAAAATAAGGTCTTACACTTAGGCAAGAAAAGCTAAATGCACCTCTATAGAAGCTGTTGTACCTTGTTCAACAGCAGTAACTGTGAGAGGGATCTCAAAACACTTACATATGAGATAGCAGTGTGCTGTAACTGCCTAAAAAGTCAGTTCAGCCCTAGAATGATCCAAAACAGTTCCAACCGAGAATCGAGGAGAAAGTTCCTGTCTGTGAGAAAAGTGGAATGGCTTGCCTCTAGAAGTTGTGGATGCTCCATCAATGGAGGTGTTGAGTAGGAGATTTGACAGCCATTTTCCAAATACGAATAATAGGGTCTCATGCTTGGAGACCTGGTCCCTTCCAAATCTTATTCTGTATTTCTGTAAGAACTTCATGAACCTTTAGGGCTCAGCATGCAGCTAATCTTCACACAAGCTAAGTAGTGTCACATTTCACCAGGCTCAGTTGCAAAGATAGGTTGCTGTGAGTCTGAAAATGATAGCATGTAATCAATTTAAAATATCTCGCAGATACTTAGGTGGAGAAAGCACAAGCCTGTTTTCCAGGCTCCTGCCGCGAGATGGCGGTCAGATAGGCAGCATCGGTGACTAGAAAACCAACAATACAATACTGGTATCTGTGTTTGAGCTTAAAGGAGTTAAAACCATCAAGCATTGTATTGCTAGAAAGGCGAGGAGGAGAGCAGCACAGAAGAACTTCCTCTTCCGCATCACTCATGGGAGGAGGGTGACGCACTGGAAGGCTCTCTCGCTTTCTTGCAAGGGTGGAAGCATCAGCAGGAAGGTGAGTTGAGGGCAGGTTGGAGGACAGGCCAGGAGCAAGTCGGGCTGTTTGGTTTCCTCCACAGCGGAATCATCTACTCCAGTCAGAGCAAACTCGCGACGTCACGTGACGTCGCGCAACGTATCGGGACGGTTTTGCCATTGCCGGCAATAGGGTGGGCGCGGCTTCCGGATGACACGTCCGTCGCGCGGACCGGCAGTTTGTCCAACGCCCTGCTCAAGCAGGAGACCTTACACGTTTCAGATAAACGGCTGTCCACTCTCTTCTTAAAAACCTCCAGTGATCGAACACCCACAGCAGGGGTAGGCAACCTTGGCTCTTTTGTGACTCGTGGACTTCAACTCCCAGAATTCCTGAGCCAGCATGACTGAGCTTGGAAACCTCTCCCTTTCCCCTCAGCATGGCGGGCTCAGGAATTCTGGGAGTTGAAGTCCACGAGTCACAAAAGAGCCAAGGTTGCCTACCCCTGACCCACAGGTTCTGGAGCACTGTTTCTCAACCTTGACAATTTAAAGGCATGTGGACTTCAACTCCCAGAATTCTACAGCCAGCATTGCTGGCTGTGGAATTCTGGGAGCTGAAGTCCACATGCCTTAAAATTGTTGAGAAACACTGTTCTGGAGGCAAAAACCATTGTTTCCCACTGGTTAATTATTCTTACTGTCATGAAATTTATCCTTGTTTCTAGGTTGCTTCCCTCCTTGATTAGTTTCCACCCATTGTTTCTCGTCTCACCATAAAAATAGTTGGAAAAGGGGAAGAGAGAAAAGTGTAGGATAAAGGGGGGGGACTCCTTTTGGGTGCAGTAGAATGCACTGAATCATACAATGCTTTACATACTCATTCTCCAAGTTCCATTTCAATTTCAATTTATGAAACTTAGCAATAATATGTTCAACGTTACCACACAGTAGCATTTCCAATTCATTTTTCACAAAATCAAATCCATAGCTCTTTTTGTCTAGTTTAAAGCTTTCTTTCAATTGTAAATATGTAAACCAATGGCAAACACATCCTTCTGATTCCAACTCCTTTAGATTTCAGGATAAGGTCACCATAATTGAAAGATATTATTTGGCTATAAGTCCACTCGTCTGGCCTCGCCACCATTTCTTTTCTTAAAAAAAGTTCCTGGGGAGACAGCCAAAGAGGCATCTTCCTAGAGAATCTTATTTTATATTTCTTTCAAATTCTTAGGATGACATATCTAACAAAGTGATTATTATAATCAACATTTGTGTTAACCTGATCATACCATAAATAGCTGTGCCATCCAAACCTTCATTCATGGCCCTCTGGCGCAAGTAAGCTATTTTGGAGGATCACCCACTCTTTTGGCCAGACAAAACAAAAAACCATCAAAGTACAATTTCAAATCAAGTAAACCCAAACTTCCTCTTTCTTTAGTGTCTTGCAATAATTTATATTTAATTCTTGGTTTTTCCCCCCTTGCAATATAAACTCAGAGATCTCCATCTGCCTTTGTATAAATGGAGTATCAATTACAAGTTTTGGTAAGTCTGAAACAGAAAAATCTTTGGTAAAACATTTATTTTAATTACTGAGATTCTCTTCAATTATTGAAATGATGAGAATTTTTTATTGACCCAATTCAACAAGTTTATTTCATGATTCTATGGATATTTGAACTTGGGTCTTGGTAATATTCACTGTGTCAAATAAATCATAATTAATATAAGAGGCTATTATTGTGACATGTTTGCTTTTCAATTGTATAATTTTTCATTTCACATCTTCTGCAACCATTTTATAAACAATAAACACTTTTCTTTGAATATTATAGAAAAAGAGGATGCCAATAAGAGCACTCCGGACAACTGAGAATAACAAGCAACATTGAAAAGGAAACCAAATCAAACCAGAAATAAAAATATTTTCCATTTCCTTCAGAAAAACCACACAACTCTTCTCCTTCCACAGCAGGTAATAGACAAAAGAAAAAAAAAACAAGAAGAGATTTCAAACTGTAAAAGTAGAGAATGCGGAACACAAGAATACAAACATGAAAAGGTCAAAGGAGATTATTTTTCCCTTCAGGAAGATAGGGAAATATCTAGAAGTCAGTGGGGAGAAAAAGAACATTTGGGAAGCCATAGCAGGCAGACATAATGCAGGTCTCGCCCTGGGAGCAAGAAAAGAGTAGCTTCAACCAAAGCAACAGTAAACAAGGGATCACACATCATTTTGACATCCTCAAGAAAATCAGTGATGGAAAAGCTCCACTGATGAGTATATTATGGGAAAGATGCAGATTTCAAATCACAGATAATTATAAACAAAATGATCCACATCGGAGAAATGCTGTACAAATACTCTGAATGTATCAAAAGTCTTTCTCAGAAAAGCTCCCTGGTGGTTCATAGAAGGACCCACAAAGGAGAGGAACTGTACAAATGTTCCCAATGTGATAAATGATGTGCGAGCATGGCCACTTGGCGATACATTATAGGACTCACACCATGCAGAAACCCTTTGAATGCTCTGATTATGGGAAACATTTTAGTCACAACTTCAGCCTGGTGATACACTAGAAGATGCACACAGAAAAGAAATCATACGAGTGTCCAGATTGTGGAAAAAGTTTCATTGCAAATTCCCACCTTGTGAGACACCAGAGGACTCACACAGGAGAAAAACCATTTGAATGTCCTGATTGTGGGAAAAGTTTCAGTCAGAATTATGAACTGGTGATACATCAAAGGAATCACATAGGAGAGAAACTATTTGAATGTACTGATTGTGGGAAAAGTTTCAGTCGGAATTCTAGCCTGGTGATACACCAGAGGACTCATACAGGAGAAAAACCCTTTGAATGTCCTGATTGTGGGAAAAGTTTCAGTCAGAATTCCAGCTTGCTGATGCACCAGAGGACTCATACAGGAGAGAAACCGTTTGAATGTCCTGATTGTGGGAAAAGTTTCAGCCAGTATTCTAGCCTGGTGATACACATAAGGACTCACACAGGAGACAAACCCTTTGCATGTGCTCATTGTGGGAAAAGGTTCAGTCACAGTTCAAGTCTGGTGACACACCAGAGGACTCACACAGGAGAGAAACCATTTGAATGTCCTGATTGTGGGAAAAGTTTCAGTGAAAATTCCAACCTGGTGAAACACCAGAGGACACACATGGGAGTGAAAGCGTATGAGTGTCCAGATTGTGGTAAAAATTTCAGTCAGAATTCCTACCTGGTGAAACACCAGAAGACTCACGCAGGACAGAAATCATATGAGTGCCCAGATTGTGGGAAAAGTTTCATTAGAAAATTCCAGCTCACAAGTCACCAGAGAATACACACAGGAGAGAAACCATTTGAATGTCTTGATTGTAGGAAAAGTTTCAGTCACAATTCCAGCCTGGTGAGACACCAGAGAACTCACACAGGAGAGAAATGTTTTGAATGTGCTCTTTGTGGGAAAAGTTTCAGTCGGAATTCCAGCCTGGTGATTCACCAGAGGACTCACACAGGAGAGAAACCGTATGAGTGTCCAGATTGTGGGAAAAGTTTCAGTCACAATTCCAATCTTATGAAACATCACAAGACTCACACAGGAGAGAAACCCTTTGAATGTCCTGATTGTGGAAAAAGTTTCAGTCAGAATTATGAACTGCTGATACACCAGAGAAATCACACAGGAGAGAAACCGTATGAGTGTCCAGTTTGTGGGAAAAGTTTCAGTAAAAATTCCAACCTGGTGAACCATCAGAGGATTCACACTGGAGAGAAACCATATGAGTGTCCAGAGTGTGGGAAAATGTTCCGTCAGAATTCCCATCTGGTGAAACACCAAAAAACACATACAGGAGAGAAACCTTTTGAATGTCCTATTTGTGGGAAACGTTTTAGTCGGTACTGCAGCCTGGTGAACCACCAGAGGACTCATACATTAGAGAAACCTTTTGAATGTCCTGATTGAGGGAAAAGTTTCAGTCACAGTTCCTATCTGGTGAGCCACCAGAGGACTCACATCGGAGAGAAATCATATGAGTGTCCAGATTGTGGGAAAAGTTTCATTAGAAAATTCCAGCTCACAAGTCACCAGAGGACTCACACAGAGGAGAAACCATTTGAGTGCTCAGTTTGTTGGAAAACCTTCAGTCACAATTCCAGCCTGGTAAAGCACCAGAGAAATCACACAGGAAAGAAACCATATGAGTGTCCTATTTGTGGCAAAAGTTTCAGTCAGAATTCCAACCTGGTGATACATCAGAGGATTCACATGGGAGAGACTTGTCAAATATCCAATTTGTGGATGGTACTTCAGGTGTGAATCACCCCTTTTTCAACACAAGGAATGCGACATGAGACAAAAGTTGATGAATTTAGAGAAGGCTTGATTTTCATTTCTGATCTCCCATTGAGACTGTAGGTGAGAAATTGACTATTTGAATTCTGGCCTAATGCCAGAATAAATAAAAATAAAACAAGGATAGAGAAAACATTTTAAAAGAAAGAAAGGTTCTGTTGTAGATGCAATGCTCCTCAATATCTTCATAAATGACTTAGATGGGGGAATAGAAGGGGAAGCCATTCAATTTGCAGATGACACTAAAGTGGCAGGAATAGCCAACACCCCAGAAGACAAGCTTGGGATCCAAAAAGATCTTGAGAGACTTGAACAATGGACCCTATCCAACAACATGAAGATTAATGTGTAGAACACCTAGACAGGAAAAACCAAACGTAGAAGTACAGTTTAGGCAAAACCTAGCTCAAAAAGAGTAACTGTGGGAGGGACCTTGGAATCCTAATGGACAACCACTTAAATGTGAGATAGCAGTGTGCAATAGCAGCCAAAAAAAAAACCACGAATACAGTCCTAGGTTGTATAAACAGGCATATCACATGAAGTATTAGTACTGCTTTATAAAGCCTTAGTAAGGGCACACTTGGAATACTACATCATGTTTTGATCACTACATTACATAAAATATATTGAGACTTTGGAAAAAGTGTAAAGAAGAGCAACTAAGATGATTAACAGTCTGGAGACAAAAACATATGAAGAACAGTTGCAGGAACTGGGTACGGCCAGTCTAGAGAAAAGAAGGACTAGGGGTGACATGATAGTATTCCAGTATTTGAGGGTCTGCCACCAAGAAGAGGGAGCCACATTATTTTCCAAAGCACCAGAAGGCAAGACAAGAAACAATGGAAACTAATCAAGGAGAGAAGCAACCTGGAATTAAGGAGAAATTTCCTAATGGTGAGGACAGCTTGCCTTCAGAAGTTGTAGGTGCTTCTTAATGGTTTTTTAAAGAAAATAATGGAGAACATACTATCTGAAATGGTATTGGGCAGTGATGGCGAACCTTTTAGAGTGCCCAAACTGCAACCCCAAACCCACTTATTTATTGCCGGGTGCCAGGTGGTTGTGGCCCACTGGGTGGGCGTGGCTGTGGTCATGGCAGACTGGGTGGATGTGGCCAAGGTGGGCTTGGTCACCTCGATGTTGCTTTGGGGAGGGACCCCTGTGGGGGCCAGGCAGGGTTGGGGGAGATCCAGGGGGTCTCTGGCAGATGGGGCGGTGGGCAGGAGATTCGTCCTGCAGGGTGAGACGAGGCAGGGCGGAGATGCCATTGTCGCAGGGCAAGGCGAGGCAGGGACCGGGGCGGCTGCTACATACAGAGGCCAGCAAGCGCATGGGGGCTGACAGTGTCCGTCAACAGCCACAGCCTGCCGGCCCCTCGACCAGCGCACTCTGGGACTCCACAGCTCGCTGCCAGCAATTCAGAGAAGCCTTCTCTGAGCTGGCCGGCCGGCCGACAGCTGAGGTGATGCAGTGGGTCGTGCCTGGGAAAAGGAGAGCATGCGAGGCCAGGAGGGATGGGACGGGACGGAAGGAAACCAGCCATGCTGGGATGCATCCGGCCACGTGGGATCTCAGTGAGTTAGCAGGCGGCTGGTTGAAGAGGGACGGTTGCCATCTCCGGGGCATGGTGCACGTGCCCACAGAGAGGGCTCTGAGTGCCGCCTCTGGCACGCGTGCCATAGGTTTGCCACCACTGTTCTAGGTTGCTTCTCTCCTTGATTAGTTTCCATCCATTGTTTTTTGTCTCACTTTCAGGTGCTTTGGGAAATAGGTTGAGCGCCCTCTTCTTTGTGGCAGCCCCTCATATATTGGATCACGGCTATCATGTCACCCCTAGTTCTCCTTTTCTCTAGATTAGACATACCCAAATCCTCCAATTGTTCTTCATATGTTTTAGTCGTCAGGCCCTTACTCGTGTTAGTTGTTCTTCTCTGCACTCTTTCCAAAGTCTCATCATCTTTGTTATAATGTGACCAAAACTGGATGCAGTATTCCAGATGTGGTCTTATTAAGTTTTGATATACAGTAGTAGCCAAAATTGTGAAAACCTTTTGGGAAAAGTGTATTTTTGAGGTTTGATGGCTAATAACACCAGTTTTTTTGTAGTAGTACCATAAAATTATATATCAATGGAAAGATAATTTAATCAAGAATGTAGTGCAACATAGTTTGTTCAATTATCTGTATTCTATGAAAAGGTATAGCCAAATAACCAGAAAAAAAGAAGCACAACTTGCTTAGGTTGATATCAGGTAGCTTTCCTTCATCTGATTGTAGCCAATGAGCATGAGTGTTTAGAGAGCCAATCAGGTGTCATCTTGTTTTGGCAATGAGCCAATCAGATCACAGTAGGATTCAGTTATTGATGTCACCTATTGAAGCTGAGAGGAGGACATTTGTCAGTGTGTTATGTGATTGATATCAAGTTGGTTGGGGTTTTTTTGTGTTCTTTCATTTAGTGAGCTTGTAAAACGTAATGAAATTAAAGTAATGGTGCAAAGAGTTGACTGGCTGCCCAGAAAGGAATGTAAAATAGTATTATTAAGTGAACAAGGCTACAGTTATAAAGAAATTAGAAGAAAAATTGGTGGAAACTTAACCAAAAGTGGCATTTCTACTGTACACTTTTCCCAAAAGGTTTCCACAACTTTGGCCACTACTGTAGTGGTACTAAGACTTCATATGATCCAACTCTATCCCTCTGTTTATGCAACCAAGGATCGTATTAGCTTTTTTGGCTGCTGCTGCACACTGCTGCTTCATATTTAAGTGACCATCCACTAGGCATGAAGATGACTGTTTAAACCTCTCAGCGCAATTGAAAGTAAGAGTTCCAAGTAAATTTGCAAGTTTTTACGGCACAGTTCCCCAACCTTTCCGGGTTGGCGGCCCAGAGTGAGGGGGGAAAGGGATTGGTTTTATGGAAGGGGCAGGTGCATATGGGGCCATGAGCGTCCACAATGAGGCTCATGTGAGTGGGGTTGCGGACGGACACAAGGTTTGTGCAAGTGGGGCTGTGTGCGCACACCGGCTGGTCATTCACACGGCCCAGTGGCAATTTAAGGCCACGGCCCGGTCGTAGCCCACAGGTTGGGGACCCCTGCTTGTAAAATATAACTGAAAGTGAACTTCAAAGTATGTATGTTGAAAGGAAGTTAAAAAAAATATGTATTAGAACTTACTGATTTTAGAAATGTTTTTAAAGAAAAGTTTAGTGTTTTAAAATGGATGTAAAAGAAGTTATTTTTTCCTTTTAAGAGTAAAGAATCTGAAAGAATAGAGAATTTTGTTAATAGAAATGATGACAGTATACAAAGATTAATAAGTATAAGCAGAAATATATAGTGTTTCCCACAGCAAAGAAAAAAAAGTAGAGACGGTTAGATTAATTGCTTTATCTGAAGAAGAGAATATATCTAATTTTGTTTTTATTTGGAAATCGCTTCTCAATCTTGGGCTTGTGAGGGAAGAAAATGAAACTTTGCTTTTGCTGATTAGGTAGGCTAGTTAAGAAATGACTAGTATAAACGACTGTGTAAAAGTAAAGTTGAAGTTGTAACCTCATTATATTCTATTCTGCTAAAAAGAGTTGGAAGTCAATGTTTTTCCCGCCCTCTACCCGGTTTTCTTCTTCCCCTTTTTCTTCCCTTAGTTTCCCCACAATTTTATTTTTCTTTGTATTTTATGCTAGCTGTACCCAGCCATGCGTTGCTGTGGCTCAGTCTGGTAAAAGCGTGTGTTGCTTTTACGTCCAACAGATGGCGCTGTTTTTCAAAAAAGCATGTTTTACCTGTCACAGGTGTGACATCTATATAATATAGGTATATAAAAACACGTGCGTGTTCGAATGCAATGTTGTGTCAAAATGTCAAAGCAATCGGTGAAGAACTTTTAGAGATTTAAGATTTTGAACAAATGAACATTTACATTTTTATTTATATAGAATATAGATTTTGAATAATTAAAATTTTAATACAAAAAAACCCAACCCCGTTACTAACGTAACCCTGCAGCGATTCACTTCACAACTGTGTCAAGAAAGGTCATAAAATGGAACAAACGGGTGCACCTTTTTAATGGTTCCAGCATACCATGCTCACAGTCCCCATTGGTGACTTTCCCACTAGCTTCTGACAAGAAAAATAAGTGGGGAAGGCCAGCAGGAATTTGCAAGTCACGGTCATGCTTTTACTTGACAACTGCAGAGGAACAGATGTAAGTTGGCACTGTCATGTGACACCATGCTTAATGACCGGCTGCTTAGTGACACAGATGCCAGTCCTATGCCCAGAGGCCTCCAGGGCCGAGAGTAAAGAAAATAGCTTTAGGGCAGAAGTCCCCAAACGTTTGGGACCAGAGACCAGTTTTGTGGAGAAAGGTTTTTCCGTGCACCAAAGAGTGTTTGGTTTTGTGTGCTGCCTGCATCCCACAGATGGGTCTTTGCTTGTTTGTGCGGACCGGCTGCTGACATGCCACAGCCCAGTACTGGTCCACGGACCGGGGATTGGGGACCCCTGCCTTAGGGGATAAGCAACCTACCACAAGTCCACAACAGAGAGAGAGAATGTTACAAACAAGCTCAAACGAACACCTCCCTCATTCACAGGAGCATAGGTTTCGGTGGGGGGAGGGAGGCACAACATAATCAGACTTGCAAGATTTTCTTATTACCTTCAGTCTCAATAGAAAAAAAGGGGTTAAGAGCAGAGATGTCTGGGGCTCGGCCCTCACCATCCAATCTTGTCCTCCAGTGAGCCTGCCACCTATTCCCCCACCCCCAATGATTCCTGCGAACGGTAAGGGCCGGGAGCCCCCATGCCCAACAGGCAGCTGGGGCTCCCCTCC